TGTGTGTGTGTGTGTACGTGTACGCATGGAAATGGGCTGGGAAACAGTCAGAGGGAAGCTGATGTAATTTCAGCTGGAAATCCCATCATGAATTCTTATTGTCTTGTCTGTCTATTATTATAAGCTTGGTGTGTGTGTGTGTTGTGTGTGTGTGTGTGCTGTGTGTGTGTGTGTATACAGTTAATGTGTGTGAGAGAGGAAGATCAGAAGAGGATTTCCTTTACCCGTTTGGAGACAGAGAGAGAAAGAGAATCACACAGAGCATATATCTAAAAACATAAGGGGTGTTTGCTGGAGGTCGATTTCACGCCTTTATGTGAATGAGTGAGTCCAGATGTAAAATCTTGAGGAGGACGTCTTTTCTTCTCGTAAATTCTTGATATTATTTTTTCCCCTTTCCACAGTTATTTTATACCAATTTGAAGGGCTTCTTCAATGCTGTGAGAGTACCTGTTTACAATGAACACATGGTAGAAATGAGAGTGCTAATAAATTAATGACATTCCCAACAGTGCTGTTGATAATGGCGACCATTGTTTCCCTCCTTCCTGCCCTTGAACGTGTTCTTTCCTCTCTCTTCACTGCCTCTTCATAGATACAGCTGAAACATGGAGCGTGAGTTTGTATTTTGTTGAATCAGAAATTCAAATCTTTGGCAGGTGCAGTTGGCGGCAGATGGTCTTGGGTCATCAGTCCAGTCTGGATTATGTTTATCACTGGGCTGCCTTATCAAGGCCAAAGCAAGTCAAACTTTGATCTTGTGGATTTTACTTCCAGGCAGAAATCCCCTGGCTTTATTTTAACACCACGTTTATGACAAAAGTCAAAGCTTTGAGGTCTAATGTTATCTCGAACCCACTCAAGAAGGCTTGTGACCGGGCTCATCAGTTCAGCCAAGGACTGGAAGGATAAAGCCCTTCTTGGAAGTGATTAAACAGCACTTGCATTACCTACTGCAGAAATGTGCCTGAAACGTTTAATTCCCAAACTGCTGCAGTAGAGCTGCTCAGGGGCCGCTATCGATGAGATACGCAGGTAGATTGGCATCTGCTGCATGTTCCTACATTTGAGAAAACATGTGACCGGTTTTAAAATAGAATGTATAGCACGAAAGGACTGAGAAAGCTGGAGGAAAATTTGTGACTTTATTCACAACAGTCTGACACTGGCTGTTATTTATATAGCATCGCTAATTAGATCAGTTCTCCCGCACAGCTCTGGGATCAGCTGGTCATGTTACTGTTATAACAGAAATGCCTACTGATGAGAATGTGTTGGTTTTGTGTTTTTATTATGTGTTTGAAGATCCCCGCTAGATATGTATTAAGACATATACTGTGCACATAATCTGCTTAGAACAGTAATGTCTGATATGTTTTTTCAACAAAAAAGGATAATTTACCCATTAAAATCTTACAAAGAGAACCCACTCTGTCTCTCATTTAAAATTACTATGTATCTTTTTTTCATTCAGTCCTTTTTCAAGTTTATATAGTTTCTACACTTTTGCTAGTCCTAATTTAGATATCACTAATCCTGTTTGTAGGGCCGCACCTGAAAATCTGATTTTCAAGCGAGCACAGAGAAACTTGGTTGTGAATGTTCAAAATCTGTGCTAATACAACATTTTTTCATCCAAAACGCAGTCATTGTTATTGTATAACAAGCTGATTATGCATAATTATATTCGGAATCAAATATACATTACATATTACATAGTTGAGCGAGAGTTTAATCCTGGCTGATATGGATATTGATATTTGAGACTTTAAAACACCTGATAACAATATATCGGCTGATAGCTGATGCTTTTTTTTTTAAATATAAACACAAAGAACAATCTTGATACTGACCCCTTTAATTTTTTTTAAAGAATTGCAACCAAGATACATAATAAGACATTTTACAGTTGAAAAACCAACATGTCAGCACTCTCTGGTGGACAAACTATGCACAGTAATGGAGACCCTGTTTTTAAATGACCTTACAGCAGTTTGGCATTTCTGTGTTACTTATTGGTCAACATACACACAGATACCAACATATATCTGTAATAAGATAATATCTGCTGATATATAGGTCTATAAGTCTAGCTGTATTTTGTATATATATTTTAATGTGCAGACAAATAAGTACATTCATATTTGTAATGGAGTGTTGTGTTGGCTGTAAATTATGCTGGTGTTGAACTGTATTACAGCATTATGAAGAGAGGCATTTCTGTTATTTACTCTGGGTTGGGTTTAATATTAGAAACACCTCTCAGTTTGATGCAACATAACTCAGCAGAGCCACAAACTTCATCCTCTAAAAGGATCACAAAGTTGAATCCACACCTCTCTAAAAGGATTTATTGCAGGACTGTTTGTATTAGAGGCTGGCATCTGAACTTATAACTGCAGTGTAACTACTTTTATTTAAGTAAAGGACCTGAATATGTCCTCCACAAATTCAATAACAGCTACAATTGACTCAAACTTAGAGGAGTCAGTTTATAACCAAACGGCCACACGCCCTAGACGGAAAGAATGTTGTATTTCCTTTTTATTGTTCTACTTTCTCCTAATATCTACTTATGGTTATCATTAAATCACTCACACTCCTTCACCTGCTCCACAATTCACTCACAGGAAACTCTGATAGGGGGGACTGGAATATAAAGTTCATTAAGGGAGCCAGATTAACTCCAGTTCATTGCTTAAAAACACAGGAGTAACACGTCGACTGGATTTCTGTGATTCTCCATAAATCTAATATTCTTTTCAACAGACACTCTCCAGGGTCTAGTCACTGAGCATAAAAGTGCCGGAGCAAGTTCGACAAGAAACTTGAGAGTGAAGTAAAGAGGGTGAGAAAGTGTGTTCCCCATAAACAAGCTGTCTATAAATCACCAGGTATGAGTGGTTTGTTTTTATTTATTTATTAGCTCACTGATTAAATAGTTCGAGCTGAACTTGAGGCAACAGCAGAGAACCAGGGTGCCAACGAAGTACACATTTCTGGAGCCATATGGAGGCTTATCAAAGTCTGGAGGTGAATGGGTGCTTAATCTTAAAATCCCAGAGGAGGGAGAGAGTGTCTGTGTGTACATACTGTAAACATGTACTGTTACGTATGTGTGGTGTGCCCGTGCCTTCAAGTGTGTGCATGTTTGTGCAGCAAAGACGAGGTGCAAATGAAATGTCAGGGAGACATGATTAATACATTAAGTGCAACGTGATTGTAAGGTTTAACTGAACAGATTATTGAAGGCAGATATAGACGTCAGTATATTTGTGATGAAGTGGAACATTTTGAGTTTTCTGTGACCTGAATTTTGGCTTATTTATGCCAAAGAATTCCCAAGTATTATATTAAATTTATTGTTGTTGGACAAGCTTCCAAAGCACCGTTTAGACCAGCGCTGGGTATAATCTCTCCAGTGAAACCCAAAGTAATGAAATTCTTTCAGGATTAAATTAAGAATTTATATGTATTAAAGGAATAAAAATTTCAATAAAACATTAATGCTGTGAAATAAAATGTTGCAAACTTGTTCTGGGCTGTTATGCAGCAGTGAGCAGGGAAAAGCCTCAGCTGTCATACTGGTGATGGATGACATGACTGAAAAATATCCAATACTGAATAACAGGATCAGCACTCTAACCTACGTTTTGGTTTAATGTTTCCATTTTTTTAAAAGGTGTCTCACTTATGTCTCCAAGGGTTAATCAATTTAGAACTCTTTTATTTAGAGAGAAAACTCAAGAGCACAAGTTATTTCTTCCTCTCTAGGGGATTAAACACTCAGGACAAAGAGGCCAAATGTCTCCCAGAGCAAAAACGGGTTTCTTGTTGATGGGCATCCTCCCAAAGAACTCTCAAAGGATTGTGATGGAGAGATGAGAGGATGACCTGGCAGGAGTCCTGCACACTCATACACATGGTTTGAGTTAATAACTCCCTTTTTCGATGTCATAAATCAACCATGCAGCCAGCGCCGGTCCACATGGGATGTGAGTGTTCAACATTCACAAAAAGGGAGATCGAGGAAGGAACAAGGTGGGGTCTGAAGTTATGGGAGCGCTTGTTCTACTGCAGCTATAAAATCCACTGCGCTTTTTTTGGCGTGAGCTGCATCAGCGCAATAGGGCCACTCATATGGTGTGTGAGCCTCCTGGCATCATCAGCGGGTGGGCTGCTTAGCATCTGTCCTCGAACCACGTCTTATCTTCACATCTTTCACGTCTTAGTTCAGCGTTGTCAGTGGCAGATCAAGGACAAATGGGATAACTGTTTGGAAAAACTAAGACCTACTCTCAAAATGACTGATAGTGCAAGATTAAAGAAAATTTCAGTTCCTTCTGTTAACCCTTAATCAACACAATAACTATGCAGAATAGCTTGTTTATACTAATAATAAAATATAATTTAAAAACTAGAATTAGGAGGAATATAATGTAAATGCAATATAATAATATACAGAATAATGTTGTGTTCCAATCTGCACCTAATGTATTATGGAGCTTTAAAACTGTGACTGACCTGTTCAGAGGTTTGAAAGGATCACATATTTGTTCTTACCTGTCTGGGCTCTTTTGCATTGCAGGGCTCCATCTTGACCTTTGACCCTGCCGTGAAGGCCGAAATGGCCAGGCAGAGGTCCTGCTGCCGGATCAGTGGCTCTATTAGTTCCCATCTCTGAAAAACACAGAAAAACGTCGAAAAGGATTTTTAAAAACACAGAGCAGACATGTTCGGGTCTGTGTGATAGTCAGAGGAATTTTTTGGTTTCACTTATTCTTTTATTTAACATTAGTGGCCTTCATCTTTGCTTACTACATTTACACAATCAAACTCAATGTGTAAACACTGGTTTCCAGCTACTTACTCAAAAGGTTACAACTGTGCACAAAATGCTATGTTTCTGCTGTCTGAATTCAAGGAACATTACTTTCTTTCTTCCTTTCCTCAAGTTTTTTAAGTATGTCAGACTTTTCCTTGTCAGCGACATGAATCTTGAATCTTTCAGTGTGACTTGCCTGCCTTAAACTGAACCACAGGCTGCAGGCGACAAACACAACACTTATTAATCATAACATAATCATGACTAATGTTGACTAACGTGACTAAACGTCAATTAAGGTTTGGCATGTAGCTCCTTATGTGATGATTAATGTGTTTATCAGCTCTGTAACCAAACATAAGTGTGATATTTTTTCATTTAGACTACAGATTAAGAAGACCTAAGGATCCTGGCATCAAAAAGTCATATTTTCCAAAAGAAAAGATTTAAAAAGAAATATAAGACTTGACATTTATGTTATCATACTTTATGCTACTTTCTCAGATAAAAAGCAGAATGCATTTTAACTATATTACATCAGTCACATGGTCAATAAATCTTTCAAGGTTTCTGCTTGGGCCTTAAGTAGTCCCAGAGCCTGCTATATTTTTAGATTAGTGCATTCAGTGTTAATATGCCCTTACAGCAGTGTGATCAGGTCAAATTCCTGCACATTTTCACATTAATTATTGCAATAATTCAGACTTTAAGTGTATGACCCACAGTCTCCCCCTAACGGCAGAGTCCTGACCTGCGAATGCGGCCTGCTGACGCCGATGGTCCTGCACTCTGCCAGACCGAGGGCTTCTGTCCCACGGGTCTCCAGACACAGCCCGCCTTGTTTCAGCACACTGGACACCGCTTCCTGCTCCGGGACCCTGAGGGAACCATTGACAAAGAGGAGAGAGGCCAACAAAAGGTCTTATTACAACTATAAAGAACAGATGGATTGAATTGACTGGTCGCCCGATTGAGTAATTGAATCACACCACAAGTAATGCGCCCTATTACAACACATACTCATAAAAATATACAGTTACAATTTGAGATACCGCAGTTAGTTGGAAGCATGACATCGAGCAGATACAGCCGGAGAGGCGGGGGCTGAGCTTTAAGAAACACACTGATAACTCACTCAGAGGTTCCCATCCAAATCAGATATATTTAGATCATCGGCTCTGAGGGGTCATGACACTCGTTGAGTTGCTAAATTATTTCTGATTTAAGAACTTGGGGAAAAAAAGAATCCTACTGCATTCAATACTGCGTCCTTTTCTTTCACTAAAGTGGCTTTTTTCTTTTGAAAGGAAATGAAGGCTGAACGTAATTTCTGCCTCATTTCATGTCCTTCTCAAATAATCAATCCAAACATACACAGGCGAACAAACTTTTTAAAAGTATTTTCCATTTGTTGGTTTACAATGGTGTTTGGAAGGAAACTGTGCTTCTTTGGTGTTACATAACACATAGTGGTCCAGGATAACCTGCAAACAGACTGCACTCAAAATTGTGTTTTTACACTGGAAGTTTTCACATTCATCTGCTGCAGAGGGAAAGTTTCGCTGTCCTTCACCTTAAATCTCAGTTTAACGTGCACCTATGAGCAGAATTTTGAGATATTACAACTAGTTTTTGAACCAAGTGACCCTTCCTAAGTCCCGCCCCTCTTTTCTCGATGCTCCAATAACAGCTGAGCAAACCTCAGTCAACTTCCTCGTTTCCTGTACTTAGATATGCTGTGTGCTAGGTTAGCCTCTATTGTAACATCTTAAGTTAGCTAATGATAGCTAATGGACTGGTTGCACAGCAGACATTTTGACAGCAAGAAAAACACAGTTGAGCTTAATAACAGTAACGTTGGCTCAGTAACAGTGACAGTGAACCAGCATGAACAATAGAAGAACCTCCCCTAAGTGGAATGAATCTCGCTTCTTATCTTTTAACCACATAAAACATTGTCTTGTCTTGTCATTGTCGTTATCTTTTCTACATAGACCAGCCTAGAACATAACATATCTAAGTACAGGAAAGGAGAGGCTTGCTCAACAGCACAGAGCAAAAAGGG